ACAATTGGGCAAACAAAGGAGCTGAAAGCCCGCTCATGGGTCCAGAGCTGACGTGTGGCATTGCTTACAGCACAGCACGGAGAGCTGTTGGCCAGTGGATGGGCATAGAACATCGGAGGAGCTGGGAAAGAACAGAAGGAAATGTACAGTCAAAGAGAATGCTGCAGGCACCTACGGGTGCGATAGCGGCAGATGCCCTTGGGCTGAGTAGGAAGACCCTGCGGAAGGTGGTTGGCTTTATTAGCGGCCATTGGGTATTCCGTGGACATTTACACAAGATGGGAATTCAAGTTGAAAGTCTCTTATGTAGGAAATGAGAAGAGGAGGAGGAGACAGCATTTGACGTGATATTTATGTGCCCAGCCCTACAAGGTCTGCGCATGAGATCCCCTTGGTCTATCGACTGGAGATCAAAGCGAAGAACGGGTCACCATAGTCAAAAGGATCTCATGGTTCACAAAGGACCTGGGATTTGACAAAGAATGAGGACCTGTGAATGAGGGTGCACAATAAGCTGTTCCAGCTGCACTGCAATCCCATGGTTACTTGTTAGCCTGGCCCTCTATAAAAAAGATCAATATATATGTATTGAATGGTATAAGGTTTAGGCCTACATATCTCATAATACAACAAACAGCTTAATTTATGACACAGTTGTTTAAATGTTTTGGCTACATGTGTTCACCATTGTCAAAACGTTTTTCTTCATCCATCTGCAACGTTTTGACAATGGAGGATACAAGCCGAAACATGTAAACAACTGTGTCATAAATTGAGCTGTTTGTCGGATTATAAGGTATGTAAACCTATTTATCACATTGAATATAACAGCTCAGGAGCTGGAATGGAAATTAATTATAATAAATGTATTAAATGAGAATATTTTAAGGCAAAGGGTCTTTTAAAGTTAGGACTTAACCACACGGTGCTGAGGTGGTTAGGTTATTTTAATTTAGTTCAGTTTAGTATAAGCCTAGTTTAGTTTATGATTATAACAAACAAGGTAACTTTTGTAACAACAAAAGTGGAGAGCCTTTTGTCTAATTTTTTTAAGAGAAAAATTAACAAAGACGTCTAATTTGTCTAAAGTGCTCTTTTTCATAAGTTCAGATGAGTTTAATGGTACCGTACCTTGTTTTTCATCATCATAAACTAAACCGAACTAAACTAACCAAGCCAAACCTATAAACATTACAGTGTGCACAATGTAAAATAGTGGTGGGCAGCTCTCTTCTAGAAAAGACACATAACAGAAAATCAGTATTTAAATTTAATATTGAGAATGAAATATTTTAAGTACTTAAGTCGTATCGATTAGGCCTTAAAATGTTTCATTTGTTAAAACTTTTTATTGGGTTCTAATATAAAATCTCTGTTAATCTAATATATTATCGATTTAAATATTAGGCCTAGTGATTACAATTCGGTTTGATGTATCACTTCAACATTTTTTTCACGATGTACATCAAATTGAGTTGTGGTCTAAATCCAAACGATAGTAATAAATTGGAAAACAGTTCCGCAGAGAACCTACGATAAGTATATTAACAGATTAAATACTGATACAGTAGAGAGTCAAAAATCCGAACCATATTGGGACCGTAGGTAGTTCAGATTACCAATTTATTCGGATTTTCAATCATAGCCTAGAAATGCCTAATAGACACATAATTTGGCCTACAATATTAAAAATACAGTTCTAGGATACAGTGAATGAAATAAAAATAATTATTTTTGTACTTAGGTATTTTCGTTATACCGGTTGTCCACAAAGTCTTGGCCTGATTTAATAGCATTGCTGTACGAAAACCATTAGAGCCACACTTGACTTGAATGCCTTGTTTTGAAGGAAATTTAATCAAGTTTTATTTGATGAAATTGGAAAAAAACCTTAACACAGCTGATTGACAACAATATAGGCTAGTTATTATTCAATACAATAACAAATTAGAAATTGTGAGTTTACTTGAGAATTCACAGTTTGTTTTGTTGATTTACGAAACCCAATCCCCTATAGCAGTTCGAGGACCTTTCATTTAAGTGGGAAGGTTAACAGACACAATAATTGTAGAATTTGGGGGGAGTGAAAATCCCGGGATCGTGGTTGAAAATGGTCAAGGTCCAGCCCAAAACTTAATCTTTGCGGAAGAAAATTTGAATAGGTTTGTTTACTTGGCTATGTTGGAGTTGTACGTAGTTCCTCAATTAGAAGAACTGCAACCTATGATAATTTTCCAGCAAGACGGTGCTCCGCCTCATTGGGCTAAATGTGTGAGGGATTTTTTTTAATCTCCACTTCCCCGGACGCTGGATCGGGCGTGATGTCCCGACGAAATGGCCACCTCGTTCCCCCGATGTAACCCCCGTGGATTTCTTTTTGTGGGGATTTGTCAAGGACACTGTCTATTCTTCCCCGGTTCCTAGTTTACACACACTGCGGGAGAGATTCAGAAATTCTGTAGCGTCTGTAACCCAGGATATCCTGACTAAAACCTGGGACAGACTGAAAAGACGGATAGAAAATCTTACGGAAGTCTACCCAAAAGCTAGGCCTAATGCTAAAGGTTAACCTTCAAAAGCTTAAACACCAATAATGAAAAATAAATAGGCCTACTAACCTTTTAGCAAAAAAATATAACTTACCCATTGTTTCTTCAGATATCATTTTTGATCTTGATAGGCCTAACAAATAATGCAAAAAACATAGGTCTATCCCAATTTGGTTTAGTATTATTGGTTATAGTTCAGTCTGAAAGTTCAAGCTGTGTGTCCAGCTTGGCTTGGATAGTTAACTTTCTCATTAGGCTATGTTGATATGTTCCATGTTCATACTTAGGCCTAGTCTATAACTTAGCTGAATTTTCAAACGGTGTTCGAATTGCTTCTAATGCTTTAACATAAAACTGGAACAAGCTTCTTTTTCTTTCTGTTGGATTGAGAGTGAGTGCTGGCTGTTGTGAAAATAATTTCCTCAACTAACAGACAGAAACAAAACAACAACATGGAACTCAAACTGAACTACTGAACTGACGTACTGACACTGACACTGACGGACGACAGACAGACAAGTTTCAGTTTTGAAAGAAAACTAAACTCCTTTCCTTCCCTCCACTCCACCCACGGCCACCCATCAACAATACACAAAAACTCCATCCATCTAAAATCTAAATACCATCCTCGATTCGATTCGACTTACATTTTGGCGCCAATGCCAATCAGGACCGTCGTGAAGTTAGCGGCTCTTTTCATCGGCGCTTTTTCGGATTGTAATAGATATGGGTTCGTACGCCTGCGGGCGCCACAAACATGTTTTGCAGGGATGTCGGAAACGCAATTCAATGACAATACGGTGCGAAATAATGTTTTTACATTTATATCATGTCAATTATACCTTGATAAAACGTGTGTACACGTTAAAACTAATTAATTGGCGTATTTTAAAAGGCATATTTGAGACCGTACTGAACATTATACGTAGCTATGGCTAAACATAACGCGATCAATTAACACTCCGAACATAAAAAAGTGCATAATCTTTTTCCTAAGCCCATCACACCAACTTTGAGCTATTCTAATGGTAATATACAATGTGTAGAATACTCAGTATAAATATGATTGAGGCAGTCCAGTAAATTACGAAGCTATAAGGCAAAATGTATATGGTTGTTAGGAACTCGCATAAGGAAAAAGTGCACAATCTTTTTCCTTAGTCCATCACATCAACTTTGATGTATTCTAATGGTAATATACAATGTGTAGAATAATCAGTATGAGTATGATTGAGGCAGTCCCCTAAATTACCAAGTTATAAGGCAAAATGTATATGGTTGATAGGAATTTGCGTCAGGAAAAAGTGCACAACCTTTTTCCTGAGCCCATCACATCAATTTTGAGGCATTTTAATGGTAATATACAACGTGTAGAATAATCAGTATGAGTATAATTGCTCAAAGTTGATGTAATGGACTTAGGAAAAAGATTGTGCACTTTTTCCTGACACAAATTCCTATCAACCATATAGATTTTGCCATATAAATTGGTAATTTAGGGGACTGCCTCAATCATACTCATACTGATTATTCTACACATTGTATATTACCATTATAATACCTCAAATTTGATGTGATGGACTTAGGGTCAACATGCATTGTGCACTTTTTCCTGATGCAAGTTCCTATCAACCATATACATTTTGCCTTATAGCTTCGTAATTTACTGGACTGCCTCAATCATATTTACACTGAGTATTCTACACATTGTATTTTACCATTAGAATACATCAAAGTTGATGTGATGGACTTAGAAAAAAGATTGTGCACTTTTTCCTGATGCGAGTTCCTATCAACCATATAGATTTTGCCTTATAACTTCGTAATTTAGGGGACTGCCTCAATCATACTTATACTGATTATTCTACACATTGTATATTACCATTATAATACCTCAAAGTTGATGTGATGGACTTAGGAAAAAGATTTTGCACTTTTTCCTGACACAAATTCCTATCAACCATACAGATTTTGCCTTATAACTTCGTAATTTACTGGACTGCCTCAATCATATTACTGAGTATTCTACACATTGTATATTACCATTAGAATAGCTCAAAGTTGGTGTGATGGGCTTAGGAAAAAGATTATGCACTTTTTTATGTTCGGAGTGTTAATTGATCGCGTTATGTTTAGCCATAGCTACGTATAATGTACAGTACGGTCTCAAATATGCCTTTTAAAATACGCCAATTAATTAGTTTTAACGTGTACACACGTTTTATCAAGGTATAATTGACATTATATAAATGTAAAAACATCATTTCGCACCGTATTGTCATTGAATTGCGTTTCCGACATCTCTGCAAAACACGTTTGTGGCGACCGCAGGCGTACGAACCCATATCTATTACAATCCGAAAAAGCGCCGATGAAAAGAGCCACTAACTTCACGACGCCGACGGTCCGTTGAGCCAGCTGAGCGCTGAGCCGCTGAGCTGAGCTGCTAGAAAGAAATGAAAACTGAAACACTGAAAGTCAAGTTCATAAATTAAATTAATTTAAATTTATTATGATTATGGAAATGAAAGTGTTTTGAGTGTGCTGAAGCTGAAGTGATTTGTTATTAAGTATTGACGAATAAATGTTGTGTGTGCATGAACTATTTATGAAGTTTTAAATGTTCATTTAGGCTATTTTTTCGGATTCCTCAAGAAAGAGTGATTGTTAATAAATGCCTAGGTTAGGTTAGGTTGAGCTGTGTGCGAGATTACAGTTTTGGTAGGTCTAGGTCTAGGTTTATTTGATATGAGCGAGGTGTGGGCCCAACTTTGAGTTAGTTTGGACCTTTCAGTTGAGTTTAGATCTGTTATTGCCTTTGAAATAAGGGCTGCACTTTAACTTAGTTTACGTCCTACACTTATTCGAATGAATATAAACTTATATCGATTGTATATCCATAGATTACTTCATTCGAAATATCAAGTCATCATACATCAATCGATATGTCGAATAATCTATATATCGATATTTTCATTCGGATGAGTGTAGGACGTAACTTAAACTAAAGTGCAGCCGAAATAAGTTAAAACTTAAAATCTATTTATAAGCTTCCAACACACTCACAACCACGGCCACCTTTAACTACAGGCCATGGCCTGTTAGAATTGGCAACGTTGCAAGGGTGTTGTTTAGTGACAGACGTCCCATAAGATAACATGGGAAACAGGTGACATCAGCTCAAATTCACACTTTATTGATTTAAATTTATGAACATAAATTTATTAAAATATTGAAAATAAAACACACAGAATTGAAAAACGAAACGATATAAATTAAAAATCTATGTCTGTACATTTTAAGCGGAGTTAATATTGTCATAGTCCAGTAACCAATCTTTTGTAAATAGGCCAACACAAATACCATTTTAAGCTGCTTCCAATGTGGTGAGTCGGTGGCTCAGTTGGTGTTGGTAGCGTCACGGACTTTGGGCCAAAGGCAGCGATGTCATGGGTTCGTATCCTGGTCACTGCCACTAAAATTTATCAGTAGGCCTACAGTTCACCTTCATACTGTACCGGCTCACCCCTTGCTTTGCTGGATACGTTCCACGCACAGATCTGTAGTCTATGTGGTCTGGCAAATGCAAGGTTAAAAGAGGCCGCCAACCTCTTTTTTTAAATAAAATAAGTAAATAAACAAAACAGCTGTTACAACCCCACTTGCGACGTTGCCACTTCGCCGCGGCCTGGAGTTAAAGGCGGTCGTGCTCACAACACTTTCTTTTTCATAGTCATAATAAGTTTAGGCCTAACTTTAACACTTGACTTTCAGTTTTCAAGCATCTCAAGTCAAAATGCTTGAACCCTTAAGGAGTTCTGTGTTACAAGGAAAACGTATAATTTTAGCCAGTTCATCCCCTAGAAGATCAGAAATTCTTCACAATATTGTAAGAAGTATAAATCGTCTTTTAGTAGGTTACTTAAAGTTACAGTCCATTCACAAAATTTAGGCGGTTGCGGTTCAATCAATCCCCTCCACATCACTTAACTAAGACTAAGAAACAACAGCCGACAGCTGACAGCAGATCAATAAGCTTGCATTAACTTTTTAAGCTAAAAAATAGCGGGGGGGGGGGGGGGGGGACCTAGGAAACCTTTTCCTTAACGCCTAAATTTTGTAAGAGCGGACTATGGCCTATGATTTATCATACTAGATATAGATCTGTATCTATCTAATATTAACTCAGACTAAGTTAAAACTTGCTCCTCCCATAACTTATTGAGCTGATGTGTGGCATTTTTAAAATCTATATTAAGTTAGTATTATTACACTTTTAACCTACTGTTTCAATAGCACATAAACAGTCTGGATGTAACATTGACTAACAACTCGGTTCACTAAGTTATAACCTACACTTTAACTTGACTAATTACCAATTAGTCCAACCTGAACCTACCTTTAAAAGGACTTAAGCAGTCAAGAATTAGCACAAAGTCTGAGTTTGACCTGCCTTCCCCACATGCCTTTTCTGTCATAAAACAGAATTTTGAAGTACTGTATGTAAGCTATACAAAATATGCTGTAGCAAGTTTGGTGTATTTCTGGGAAATAACCCAATTTCCATCAATAATTACCTCGTATTCAAATAAACTAACTTTCCCCCGGCCAATTACCCTTTCTCCTAATGACTGCTAAATTTAACCAAGTTTCATCGTAGATCTCCTCTTAGCTTACCCAAACTCAGATTTCCATTGCATCCCCTAGTTGGTTGAGAGTTTTGCTTTTTAGGCTACGGTATATTTATAATTAGTCATTTAAGATGTAAGTTAAGTAAGTTAAGAACGTTTAAGTTGACTTGAGTCTCGTACACAATAACCAAGGTTTACTGTAAATCCTATCTCTCAACTTGACAGCGTTCTTTAGTAGCGTCAACACTTCCTTGATTTTGGGGGTTTCAGGTGCTTAAACCCCATAACACTAGGTAGCTTATAAGGTACTAAGGCAGTGCAAAGTAGACAGTTATTAGAAAGTCACCCAGCATCAAAGTTTATAATTAGGCCTACTTCATCATGTCACTTCCTGAAGAGGAGAGAAATTGCACTTACTTGAGTGTAGGCCTATATTCAGTACATTCTCTGGAGAGTTTATGGCAAATTTGGGTCCATCAAGAAGCTCAAAGTTTCACTGGGTCTTTCGTTTTACTAGTTACTATAATTTAAATAAACGGTATCAGCATTCTGACACATACTTTCTCCCATAAGTTTGTCAACAACCTTTATCATGTGTAAGCGGTGAGAGTAAATATACGGAAATGGTATTAGTACAATTTTGATAAGAATTTAAAGGACTATAACATACTAAATTTTTATCAAAATCGTTCAGGCCATTACATTTGTGAAAATCCGATTTTTCCGTTATTTTATGAGGTTTTTATGGGAAAATAACATAATTTACAATAACTTTTGAACTGTAATGTTTACAGAAATGGGATTTGTACCGTTTTGTTCAGAATATAAAGGGATATTAAGGATGTTTTTTAATGGGGATTTTCCCATAAAACCCAATAAAATAACTAAAATATAGGATTTTCCCAAAAACGACCCGATCGATTTTGATAAAAATTTAGTATGGACTATACCATACTAAATTTTTATCAAAATCGATCAGGCCGTTTTTGGGAAAATCCTATATTTCCATTATTTTATGGGGTTTTATGGGAAAATCCCCATTAAAAATCAAAATTTCTAAAAAATTGAAACAAACTATCAAAATTGTAAGGACCATAACATACTATGTTAAATAAAACCCGGATTTTTTTTTCTAAAATCCTATTTTTCGTTATTTTATGGGGTTTTTATAGGAAAATAACATAATTTACCATAACTTTCGAACCGTAATTTTTAGAGAAATGGGATTTGTACCATTTTGTTCAGAATTTAAAGGGCTACAACATATTAAATTTTAAGAAAAATCGTTCGGGCTATTTTTGAGAAAATTCAATTTTTCCGTTTTTCTGTGGGTTTTTATGGGAAAATCCCCATTAAAAATCAAAATTTCATTAAAATGAAAAAAAACGCTTGAAGATACCATGGATTAGAACCTACATACCATATTTCATCGAAATCAGACCACAGGTGTAGTCTCTAGCTCTGTACACATCCAGACACACACACACACAGACATCACTTCGAAAACCACTTTTTGGGGTCCAGGGGGACCCAAAACGAATATATCCACTCAAAACTCAAACTCGAAAATTTTGACGAAAACAATACTTTCTCCATATAGGCTACGAGGGTATAGGGGGAGAAAGTAAAAATAACCAACACCGTAATATGCCAATCTGTTGTCATACCTAACTTTGTCAATTCTAGGAAGCGAAAATACAACAAATACAGTAATATTCTTTCCAGGGACTGAAATTTGAAATAATTCCTTCGACGTATGAAGAGAATCTTACCCCAGAAAAATTTACAAATCATGGAGAGTTTGCGGTTGCTACTGCATTTAATAAAGTTGAAGAAGTTGAGAAAAGACTCTCAAGAGATCCCATTAAACCTGACTTGATTATTGGGGCTGATACAGTAGTGTCATTAAATGGAAAGATCTATGGAAAACCAAAAGACAAAGCAGAAGCTTACTCACATTTACAAGCGTAAGTCGTAAGTAAAGTTATCTTCATTTGACTTATATTATAACCTGTAACTTGAAAATAGTTGATTAAAAATGTATCATTGTCACTGGCTCTTCACCTTTACTCACACAGTGCCAAGTTCAAAGTAGGCTAATTTAATCTTTCTCACCAGGTGTCCTCAGATATATTTGTCTGAGTACATTGTGTGTTTAAATTTTGTTTATTACATAAATTCAGGTTGTAGGAGAATTTTTTCTTTCAAGTTGTATGCGGCTCTTTTAACCTACATTTTATATTAATGACTATACTATACTATACTATTAAACTTCACTTTTAAAAAGTAATTTTAAGAGTTCTTAATTGTGAAACAAGATCATTTTGTTTACTTCAAAGTACAGTAGACTCCCTCTTATCCAGACTCCTTATATTTACTGATTCACCTTTATCAAGAGCATTAAGCTTTTGTTCAATTGGCGCAACTAGACTCCTTCATTCGTCACTCATAAAAAAGAATGCACACTAAATGGGGAGTCACAATAAAAAAAAATACAGAAAAGCGAATCCACACAACAGTATACTGGACAATACACACTATTAATTTCATGGTGGGTAAGCCTCTGGATCGTAAATTGAATACTGATTTCAAGTTCTTTTTGGGTAGATGTTCTTTAAATCTAGTGGCTAAAGAACGAGCAGTTTGACCGATGTAAAAGTTTGGGCAATCGTTGCATTTTATTTTGTAAATGTGTTGTTTACTTTATCGGAAGGTGTCTTTTTCTTTTATTTGAGTATACAAGATAATTTGTTGGATGTTTTGTATGCAACTTGTACATTGTTCTTTGTCATTTCTTTTCTCAAGGTGTTATTGAGTACTACTCCAAATTCAGCAGAGACATATTTTTTGTTTCTGGGTTCTGGAATCTCTTATGTTTTATTTTTCTGTTTTCAAATGAGTTTATAAATGAGAGAGCTTTTATATCCATTGGAAACTGTGTTTCAAAATGTTTATTTCATTGTTGTAGTTTTCTGTGGTAAGTGGTATGCATAATAGTAGTCTGTGAACGAAACTATTGTAAGCAGCTGTCTTGTAGTAGAAAGGATGGTGTGTGATGAATGGATGGCCTGGTCAGTTGTCGTAAGTTTTCTGTGGATTTTTAATTCCAGGTTGTGGTTAGTTCTTGTGATTGTGATGTCTAAGTAATTAATTGATTTGTTAGCTTAGGTTTCGAGAGTGAATTTTAATCTATGGTGGACGTTGTTCAGATTATTTCCGTGATCTTGATTTGCCTTTCATCACCATTGAATAAAATTAATGTGTTGTCCACATATTGGCTATAGTGAACTATTTTATCTTTTTGTTTGTTGGAATCTGACCATAAAAGTTTATTTCCAATGTTGTTTACAAACAATTCTGAAAGGACGCTTGAAAGTGGAGAGCCCATTTACCTTCATTTTGTGTGTAGTATTTATTTTCAAACGTGAAATAATTTTGTTTGAAGACGTTTTTAGCGAAATTAACCAAGTTATTTTTTAGCCTCAGTTGATAAGGACGAGTTTTTATCTAGCTATAGGCCTATAGATTTTTATCTAGATTAGATTCAAGTATGTTGATGGTTTCATCAATGGGTACGTTTGTGAATAAATTCACAACGTTGAATGAGGCTAGGCAACGAATGCTCAAAAAAGGGTATAGAGGGAAATGTTTGGAACACAATTTCTGTCTTCGTAACATTTTTGAGTATAGTTAGGAGGTAAACATACCAAAATTCCCCGCCTCTAGAGCTTGTGCTGTAGGGGAGGGGGGGCCTGAAGGTACCATTTTTAAGTTTTTTTGCGGATATCTCGGAAATCATGCGTCCAAGCGAAATTGTGGTAATATAGCAAATGAAAGCTTATTAAATTGCCAGCAAGTTTGTAACTTACTATTTTTAAATATCTTTTATGCTTTTTGCATTTTTATTATCAAACATTTAAAAATTTAGAAAAATACATTTTTGTTCGTGTTTTTTGTTCTTTTTGACAAGTTTACTCCTTAACCGTTCACCCTAAAACTAAATGCTGGGCATAGAGTTATAGAAAATCAAATTCCCCTCAAATATATATGACCTTTCTAGTTTATCTTCTTCTGTTCAAATTTTAAAGCAAAAAGTTTAAGAAGATTAAAATCTAGTGTTCAACCAGGAATTTGAAGTCTTTTGGCAGCTGTTGACTACTGAATATTTTAATTTATCACCTTACCCAGTCAACTAATTGGTTGGAACATTCACCATCAAGTATATAAAGTGAGCACTGGCGTCTAAAATAAGCACAGATACCCATTATAGTAAATACTTGTGGGCTGCCTAACCAGCTTCCTTACACTTGTTGATCTAACTAGACTATTTTAATGGGAAAATATGTTTTATATTATAACCATGTTTATGCATATAAGTACATATATATGGCACTGGAAACAAATCACACTACCATTAAGTTGAAACAAAGAAATTACATATTTATGTTAATTAAAATAAAACATTATGCCAGTGAGTAGCCTACTATCGAATCAATATCCCTTGCTATCTTAAAGGGCTACCATCTTCATATTCGTTTTCATCCTCTTTTTCTCTAAGTCCCTAGGGTTGGCGGCGCCCGGAGCAAACGTGGTCGTGGCGCCCCCTCCCCCCAGCAAAAGTTGCATTGGCATATTTTAATACTATGTTAATACAGTAATAGACGCTTCGCAGCGCCCCCTCAGCCACGGCGCCCGGGGCAGCTTGTCCCGGTTGCCCCACCCCCCCCCCCTTCGGACGGCCCTGTCTCTAAGAAATAAGGTAAGGGACATCTTTTTCTCTCACCATAAACTATCTCAACAAGGATTAGATGATATTTTTGAACACCTCTACAGAATGCGACAAAATATCTTCAACGTTTAACAAAAGCAAGGTTGCTTAGAAAATGAGGAGTTGAAGCTGAACTCCCCAGTGGCCCACAAGTCAATTTTTAAATCTATGGTCTCCATGAAGCCTGATATCTCTGGTCTTCCTCCGACCGATGGTGCTTTAAAACATCGTCTCCTATGTACATTCCAAAAGTTCAGCTGTGGCAGAGAAATAACCTGCCTTCTATGATTTAAGAGTGGAAAGAACAAGAAAAACTCTGTGATCCCAGAGTACAGTCAGTATGAAACTTAACTGGAGGATATTCTGAAAATTGTTTTCTGCCTATGCACATTAAACTTTGCTAGTGCAAAATCCGGTGGCAAAAAAGCAAGCCTACAATAAGTATGCCAAAATTACCAGGATGTTGTCCCTGGGAATGATGACTGCGAAGATGAAGAAACAGTTGTATACACTTACCTATTCCCAAAAGTGGTCCGATGGAGAAAAAAGGATAAAAATGAATATGAGGATAGTAGTCCTTTCCAAACTAAGATAGCAAGGGATTGACTCAATACTGTAGTATGCTACTCACTGATGTAATGTTTTATTTTAATTCACTTAAATATATCATTTATCTTTGTTTCAATTTAATGGTTGTGATTGGTTTCCACTGCCATATAGACACTGAAACTCTTATATGAATAAACATGGTTATAACAACATAATTCCCATTACAATAGTCATCAAGTGTGAGGAAGCTGGTTAGGCAGCCCACAAGTATATAATTTTTATAATGGGTATCTGTGCTATTTTTAGACGCCCAGTACTCACTTAATCTACTTAATGGTTGATTTTTCAACCAATTAGTTGACTAAGTAGGGTGATCAATTGAAATATTCAGTAGGTAGTCAACAGCTATCGTAAGATTTCAAATTCCTTGCTCAACACTAGATTTTAATTTTTTTTTTCATACTGACGGTTAATTTGTTTTCCAATCTGGTAAACTAGGAAAGTCATATATATTATTTTTATGAATATCATACAAGATATTGAAAAATAGTAAATTAAAAACTTGCTGGCAATTTAATAAGCTTTCATTTTGTATATTACTATAATTTCGCTTGTAGTTTGTCAGACACATTATCTCTGGTCTCTAATCTTTTCTATGAGAAATGTCGTTTCAGTACCGGGCCATATCTTGCCGATCCAGTCTGTTTAAACCAATGTGCTGAAAAAAAATTGTCCGGTTAAAAGATGTCCAGATAAGAGGGAGGGAGTTACCTGCACATTGTCCTTTATGTAGGTTTTTGGTTTTAAAGTAGGCTATTTTATTTTACTCGCCTACTGCCCAATATGGCCTGGTATATATCTGGTACTTGTTTTTCTATGATTCAATAAAGGTAATCAAAATCTTTAAAACCAATGGCCATTGGCCAATCATATTAAAACCATGTGTATATTAGGTTGAGTGGGAAACAACATACAGTGTTTACTGGCGTAGTCATCAAAACGCCGACAGCGCTCAGGAAGTTTTATGAAAGCACCAAAGTGTTTGTGGCCGAGCTTGATGAGAAGACAATAAGAGCTTACATTGCCACAGAAGAACCCATGTAAGTACAATATTTATGGTGCAAGGGATATTTCTTGATCTTTGTAAAGGATAGCCTAAAAAACTGTCAATTTTTAATTAGGCTAGTTCTTTTTGATAATACTTACAATTAATAAAAGTGGTCCAAGTATCCTATATACTGTACATACCAGCTATGATTTTGTGATTGATGGAACATAACTGTAACAATAGGTACTTTTACTTGAAATACCCACTGTTACTTTGGGTGACGTAGCTCAGGAATGAAACTCAGCACTCGTTTTTTAGCAAATTTCGGAGAACGTAAGGGCCTACAAGTTGGTTTCACTTAATGTAATAGCATTAGGCCTACCTATGTCCAATGGCGGTTCTAGGACCTTGTCAAGGGGGGGGGGGGCTTTGGGGGTGCATCCCCCAATAAACCAGGGGGGTCCCCGGGAAAATTTGGAATTTTCAAAGCCGTTTGGTGACTTTCTAAAGCCATTTTTAACACCTAAAACCGTGCATGAGCAAATATACAATTAAAAAATCATACTATGACGATTCCATTCATGAATTTCAAAACAAACTGTAAACTACGGCCATATCCTCTAAAAGCCGTTGGGTGACTTTTTACAGCCAGTTTTAACGTCAAGAACTGTGTGCAAAAACCTCCCATTTCCCCATTTATTTGTCATGAATAAGTAGACATTTTAAAAACTAACTATGACGATTGCATTCATAAATCTCAAAACATATTGTAGGCTACGGCCATATCCTCTTAAAAGCGGTTTCCTGACTTTCTAAAGCCATTATTAATGTCTATATCTGTGTCTAACTGTCCAATTTCATAGATCTGTCACAATGTGTATAGTATCAAATTCAGTAATAGCATTGTCTATATAAAATTTTACACTAGTGTTTATATAGTCAATCGTAATAGGCTACTGGTGCTACCGCTGATTGCTGATAGATGCCTGTGTAAAGTTAGTGGCTAGCAGACAATTTGACAACTAACTATGGTACATCAGGCAGCTGTTTCTCCGTCCTCGCTTGCACGCTCGGCGCTCGCCTTTGCCCAAGCATGTCAACAGCTGACTGCTGTAAAAATTGGATGATGCGTACAACCTTACAACTTTCCATAGCGTAATATTGTATTTTATTTGTTGTGCTATTTTCCACAAAGTTTATCATGTGAAACTTAATACCATTCTTGCCATCGCTTATTAAGTTTAATAAAAACTACATTGATGTCTGTTTAGTGACAATGCGTTTTTTAAGGACGAAATTTACATTAAATTTTTTTCCCCAGGGTCTAGGGGGGGGGGGGGCTCTTGCCCATGTAGCCCCCCCCCCTTGGACCGCCACTGCCTATGTCACAAACATTTTACCCATATTTACAGAATTCCTAAGGAACAGCACTTTGAGGAGGAACTACATAATAACCGTTGCATTGGAGCCAATGACTATTTAAAAAAAGCACCCCATTATTATAATGAAATGGCATCAGCTGAGTTCTAAATTGTTACAATAGTCAACTGCCTAAACATAAAAACAGTATAGAAACAGGTTTTTGACCAGTCTTTATAAGAGGATAAAAACATTTATTCTTTTCTGTTATTATATGTTTTTTAGCTCAGGTACTTATAGATCATTGCCTATAAGTAAATTTTTAGCTAATTTTCATAAATTCAAACAATAGTTCATACAGTGGCAAATCTAGAACAGCCACAAGGGGAGGGGGCGAACCAGGGGGTCTGGGGGGTTCTGGGGTACCCCTCCCCCCCAAAATTTTGTGTAAACTAAGTCTCCAAAATGGCAGTTTTATACCAATTTATTTGTCTAAAGTTAGTGTGACAAATTATTGTACGCAATTTGTATACACTACTGTATTACATGCAGTAAAAAATATATGTATATGTATGCCCAAGGGGGGTGGTCGCCCCCTTCGCTCCCCCCCTCTGGATCAGCCACTGAGTTCATATTTGTATGTTCCAGGGACAAGGCAGGAGCCTATGGGATCCAGGGCTATGGAGGATCTATCGTTGAGAAAATAGACGGAGATTATTTCACAGTAATGGGGCTGCCTCTGCATTCTTTGTGCAAACATATTATATATTTGTACAAGTAAATCAAATTATTTATCCAAAGTAAATGTAAAAGTATTAAAGTCTTAGTTATTGAATGTTTTAATGCTGCCAAAGCCAATCCGTATAGTTTTTATTTGACCATAGTTTCAACTTCAAGCTTATTGCACTAATGTCAAATCTTCCGTCATCGTACCGAACATTATAGAACAAGGGCCTTTGTGTTGTAATGAGGTAAAATAAAAACAGTATTTCAGAATTTTAATATTGATATATTGAAGAAATACATACAAAATATCAATTACTATGTCAACTACTACAAACTGGAAAGAAAGTACTAAGCATCTCCCATACAAAAAAAAATATGAAGTTTCCTACATCTGAAACTGGATCAAAATCACTAGGTATGTGGCAACCGATGCTATCACCTGAAAACAAAGCTGCAATCAGCTCATGATTATAAAAAAAAGCATTTATAATCATTTGAATATGTGTCACTAAAAAGGTTGTTTGGCTTTAGAATGGTTTAAAAACTACTCTAATATTTTACCATAAAATTAATTTGACCTTATCAGATTAAGTTTGACTCTACAAAATCCCACATTAAAACTATAGCATGAACCTGAAATAAAAACTCAGTCTGCATTTTCTCAGTATGAATTATTCATCTGTAAACAAATTAATACTATCAGCCCAGGGATGGTATTTTACTATCTCCGGTAGTATAATACTACTGTAGTAAGATAATACTATAGTATATAATACTGTCATCCCAATATTAATACTAGGGTATCATTGAATATTGGATACTTAAGTAGACATCCCATTAATATGGACCAGCTGTTGCAAATTTTTTATAAAAAAAGAATATAGTTGTGTGGCGAGTCACAGGATACACTAGTGTCCGAGATGCTATTTGCTACCTTATTTTTTGTTGCTGACAGTTGAGAAGTCATAACAGTTGCTATAGATCACAATACAGTAGACTCCCTCTTATCCGGACTCCTCGGGACCGAGGCCAGTCCGGATAATGGGTTTTCCGGTTAAACTGATGTCCCCAAAAACTCGTTAAAACATACCGTTTGAATGCATACTGTATACAGTATTTGACTCAAATTTAGGAGAGCATTGTATTTAGACACATGATTACTGGTCTCAAATCTTTCTCACGAGAACGGTCGTTTCAGTACCGCCCACTTCCTGCCGATCTACTCCGGTTAAACTGATGTGCTGATAAAAATTGTGCGGTTAAAGAGATGTCATTTCTGCCGAGTGTAGTCCGGTTAAAAGGTGTCCGGATAAGAGGGAGTCTACTGTATATCTATCAGTTAGTTTGACTTAAAGTTTTGTGTATTCAACTAAAGTTATTAATTTAGATCAGCACAATCTGTCGGTGGCTCACATCAACTACTACGATTTTGGTTAAAAAACTGGCTACAAATTTAACATGGGATGGAATGTCTAGTTTAATACTCAATAGTCAAAGATACTATAATATATTAATCTCAAATGGCAAAAATCTTTTTCATGTTCAAAAATATGTAGGCCCTACTGTACATATGATTTTTGTGTTAATTTAACTAACACCATAGCCTCCTCTTACATAAGGCCGCGCAAGACAAAAGTGGCAACACCGCTGTCCCGTCAAACTGAAACAGCTATTGCTCTAATTTATAATCTACAGTACAGTAAGAAATGTTTATGTTTACACTTTTGTTACTTCTTTTATTACCATGACAATAAGCATGGCGTTTCCACACACCTCAGCCTTGTGTTAGAGCAGGCTATGCTTATACCAAAGAAAAATATACTCACCCCATTTAAGAGTGTAAAATCCAAATTGAAAAATCCACAAACTGAAAAATATACTTTCTGGTGAAGTAACTGGTATGAAAAAAGCTGCAACTGAAATAAAATCTTGCCATAACATTTGATTAGATATCAACAATAAACACTGGGTGTGGTCACAGATAAGTAAGGTAAAGAGGACATATTTTCAAAATTTATGCACAGTACTACATTTGCTGTGGCATCTGTGACTTCCCCCAAAGCCGCTGCTCCCGAGGCAACCCCCTGCCCAGAATGGTCAACCCATCCACACCATGGCCCTGCTTAAGTGGTGTCTAGGGCAAAGTCCAACACCGCCCCCTCCCCTCATATTGTCTACCCGCTAATAATACTGGTGAATGCCCTAGGATAATATTTCCAAGCTTTTAAACCATGTTACAGGAATGCCATTTCATGTTTTCAGCTGTTTTCTCTCACATAATTAAAAGTGTTAACATTCAACATGTTACGGATGGCTATTCTTTTCTTTGGGATTCAAATGTTTACTAATATAATTCTATTTAGTAGGCCTATATGCATGGAAATAGTAAACCTAAGTACTTATGTTATTTCAATGGTTTATCAATTGGGGATTGGATCTTAAGTGCAAAGTTCCGACTAAGAGCGCAGGTTTGCTGCAAAAGAGGAATTAAACTTACCTCTTCTCTGGTATTTGGAGATAGATCCGCATTTATTAGTTTGTGCACCAATACTGAAGTTTGATTTGCCTGAAAAATCATTTAATATTAACCGACTTTCAACAATTGGGAAATTTTAAAAGATAGCTAAAACAAAATATCCGTGCCAGGCAGTCGTATGATATTTAAATTAAATTGCATTTTGCAATGTCATTTTACCTGATTACACAGAGAAGAACAAATAAACACCAGAGCCAAGAGTTCAGCAGCGTTTTGGACCAAAATCAAACTCATTGCGGTGAAATACATCCAAAACGGCTCCCCTGAAACAACCCTCTTTCCAAGGAACGTTAGGGATATTGTGTACAAAATAACAGTGATCAAAACAATAGATTTTCCAATCGAAATAAGTAATTGGAGACTAAAACACTTATTAACGAGCCTACAAATGTCACACAGTTGTCGATAAATTTCCCTCGATGATTTTACTAAGTGTGAAACCTTATATCTTGTCGGGTGTGTTTTGAGATCATCAAAAGCTAGAAAATTTCCTACTAGAGATGACAACTTTTCATTTATGAGTGTGAAATCCGTTTTTAAAACAGATATGTAAGAGCTAAACTCAATAAGAAGTGTGATGTTAACACCCATTGACACCAACTGGCCAGAAACGACCAACAAACTTATATCTGTCATCCTGTAATAGAAGGATAAGTAATAAAAACATTGATACAAAACTAGGAAAATAACTCCGACGAGCTGTATAGTAGATGTTCCACGGTAAGAAATCCTGGATTCGAAAATTCCCTTGGAAATTTCAACTTTATCGAGTTTTTGGAAGAGTTCAATCCACATTTGGTGTCGACAAAGCACCATGATAAGTGAGCAAAAAGTCATCAAGAAGTTGAATGAGATTTGCAAAGGAAGTAAATGTCCGTACTGGTAAAAATCAGCCACAGTTTCATTGAATGCTATTGATAGGGATTTTAAACTGGATTGCCACATGAGAAGTATGAGAGAAAGAGAGTACAGTGTAGTGGGTATGTAAAGGGACTTCCCGTGTGGAGAGTAAGGTACTAAACCTACGATGAAACATAAATACAAAGTTGGTTTAAGAAACCTCAACATTGTGAACAACTGATGAAATACGAATGAAAACCATTAAGCATTCTGACTAAGTGATTGTGGATTGATTGAAATTGACCAATTAAACGCTAATTTTCTGTAAATATTTGTGCTTTTTGATTGTCTAAAGTAAACATTAAAAGGATTTGATTGATTTTTACAATGGTTCATTGTGCAGTAAAATGTTTTATTATTCTTTTAGCTTACAGTTAATTAAGTAAAAATAAATTTAGTTGATTGATAGTTTTCACTTGTAATAATTAGAAAATATTTTTAAGAACCAATAATTGTTGACGTTATTTGATTTATTTTCATAAATTGGCCATCAATTTGATCAATATTGATAAATTTGTGAAACACATAGTATACAGCGAGGTACAACACTTGAAGCTATTTGCAATCAAATAATAAGTATAAGTTATGAAAATTATGTAGTCATCATAAATACAAGAGTTTTGTGCCAATTGATGTCTCCCATTGTCGCAACTAGACAATGTAGTTCAAATCTTAAACCAACTATATAAGTTCTCTATTTCATCTACTAATATACTAGCTGGTTTCTATCCATATGCAACAGTTTAGTCTGAACATAGAAGCTGAAAATGTTGTGAAGGAAAATCGATGCTTCGCCAATTATAAATTGCTTTTTGTGATTAGATCTTCTATGTCGTCAAATGTTCGTCATCGGATCGCAAGTAATGGAGGAGATTGAAGTAAAGCAATTGAAGATGAAAGGAGATCGTAAACGTTTTTTCGATGCTGAAAATGTTTTGCACAGCTTAGGCCGGTTGTAGTCGTTCTTTAGCCCAGGCGCATATTGAGCTGTGCGGCAGAGTCCGGGCAGTGCAGCACAGCACAGGGCAGCATTGGGAAAAAAGCGTTGCACAGTTGACATCGGATTGGGAAGCAGTGTTGTACAGTTCTCGTATACGAGTGTTACAGTTTCTTGTGTGATCATGTTGTTAAATATTAGGTTTTGAGTTCTGAGTCAGATTCAGGTGCTGATCTAGATTTATTGTTACTTCAACAAAGAACAAGAAAGAAAGGGCGAAAAAATTTGCAATGTTTAGTGATTTTCGTATTTTCTCCCAGATTTCATTCTTGTAATTACTCTTTATATATTTACTATAACTGGTAACATAAAAAATGGATAAAAACGTACAACTTCTATTAATTCTCCTCTAAATCCATCACACAACACGGCGCAGGTGAGCCATGCGACGCAGGCACTTGTGTCTCGGCCACAAGTGCGCGCAGTCCACGTACTGCACTGCCCTGCCCTACGCTGCGCCACAACAATAGGCGCGCGCCCTAGCAAAAACGAGGTTTACAAAAAAATGCCCTGTCCTGTGCTGTGCTGCACTGCTCCGACTGCGTCTCAATATGCGCCGTGCCCTTGTTTTTGAGGCAGTGACCAATGTAAAAGAAATTGTGCACTGTGCATAAAAATGTTGATGTGACTGACCAAAGAATTGTGGAACTGATATGGGACGTCTCAGAAGACTATTAAGTACATGGATTAACGTTGGAA